GCATATCAGTGTCTTTGTGTAGTATTTTGTGGTGCACTTCATTTTCTTCTTTAAGCTTTTTTGTGTTTTCCAGCATTTCTACAATAAGCATATATTATTTATAAACAGAATTCACCAAAGTATATTCAAGGCTGGGTATGGTGGCTCATGCCTGTAATTTCAGCAGGTGGACCACTTGAGCCCAGGAGTTCAAGACTAGCCTGGGCAACATGGCGAAACCGCCTCTACAAAAAAAATACAAAAATTAGCCAGGCTTGGTTTTGTGCACCTGTGGTCCCTACTTGGGAAGCTGAGATGGGAGGATTGCTGGAGCCCAGGAGGTGGAGGTTGCAGTGAGCTGAGATCATGCCACCGCACTCCAGCCTGGGTGACAGAGGGAGATTTTGTCAAAAACAACAACAACAACGACAAAAAACAGAAAAACTTCATAAAGTGTATTCAAAATTTTACAACTTTCTACTTGAAAAAAACAGATTGATATGATCTGGATGTGACTGTAAGACTGCTTATACTGATTAATTAATTCCTCTAAGAAAGGCATCATTGTTTAATTGCATTTCTTAAATCCATATTAGCTGAGTGGCGTTATTATGGCTGCTCGCCTGAACATGGACATTATGTCATAATATGACCTGGGACCTACACTGAGAGGCCACCCAATGTGTGGAAAAGAGTACTGAACCAGGGGTCTTGGGCCTTGTGACCTTAAGGAAAGTGTTTAGTAGCATTCTGTGTCTCCGTTTCCTCTTCTGTCAAATAGATCTTATCTGCTTTACCACTTTCACAGAGTTGTTCTAAAGACAAAATAAGACAATCCGGGCAGGAGTCTATGACATGTAGGCTATTATAAAGGCAAAGATCATTATTCAAAGAATGAGCTAGTACCTGCCTGGAATTCATAGTTCATATAAATGATTTTTTAAATCTCCCTCTTGGTAAGGAAACATGGACTCCCTTGGTTGCATAAGAAAATATCCTCCCCTCTCCTCCCACAGCCCCTTTTCTTAACCAAATTTATAAGTGCACAGTCCTTCCTTGGGGGAAGGTATAGACAGATCAGACACTCCCCTCTGTCCACCTCCACCAAAATTCTAGGAGAAAATACTTGGCTTCTTAGGAAAATGCCTCCCTAAAGAAAGAGGAGAAACCTCAATGTTCCCATGGAACTGGAGCAGAGGGCAAATTCCACACCACCTCTGCACAAACCCACAAACCTTGGCAGTCCTGCAGGGTCCAGATCTCTGATCTGTGGCTCAGAGTAAAGAGGTCGTTTAGACAGTATGTTAGTCTCACAAACCCCTCTATGATGCTGCTGTTGTGAAGATAGTTGTCACTTCCAACTCATATTATTGCACTCTTTGCCACACATAGTTATAGGGACAGGAAAGGCCATGGCTCCTCCAAGCCCCACAGCAACTGCTCCAGGAGACTTGCTGCAAGGAGCAGAGGCCCCTCGGTCGCCACAGGTAAAGGGGACAGTATTTTGATTGACCTGGGAAGGTTACCAGGTGCAACCCTGGCTGCATATGAGTCACCAGGGGAGTTCCTTAATAACTCAGGTGACAGGTTTAGAATTTACCCAGAATCCCTGAGAGTGGGAACCAAGTATCCTTATTGTTAAAGCTGTCCAGGTGATTCCAAGAGCAAGCAGGATTCAGAAGCATTGGTTCAGTTCCAACACAGATCTAGGTATCTCTCCTGCACCAGGCTTCAAAACACTCCCCTTGGTGAGATCTCCTGCGCAATTCTGCATTCTCCTAAACATTCTTTGCACACAATTTTACCTGCCGTAGATCCAACTCACCCCTAAGGGATCCCTTAATTTTTGGCTTCTCTACTGGTTGGCTCCATTTCTCAGTCTGCCAATTCCAGATCCCCAAGAAGGATCTTCTCTTAGCCCAACTCACCTTTTCTTTTCTTTTTTTTTTTTGAGATGGAGTATCACTCTTGTTGCCCAGGCTGGACTGCAATGGTGCGATCTCAGCTCACTACAACTTTCGCCTCCCGGGTTCAAGTGATTCTTCTGCCTCAGCCTCCTAAGTGGGTGGGATTACAGGCACTTGCCACCATGCCTGGCTAATTTTGTCTTTTTAGTAGAGATGGGGTTTCTCCATGTTGGTCAGGCTGGTCTCGAACTCCTGACCTCAGGTGATCCACCTGCTTTGGTATCCCAAAGTGCTGGGATTACAGGCAAGAGCCACCTTGCCCGGCCCCAACTCACCTTTTTAAACCAGGCTACTTGGGCCATGGGATGCTGCTTGATTTAGATGCTGGCTACTCTGTGGAAAGGGACAGAGGTTGTGTAGTGTAGAACACGGCCACCCTGGTCTGCCTCAGTTCTGTTTTCTGCGTTGGTGGGGTGGGGTGGGCACAGTTTCCCTTAACAGAGACTGTGGAATGCTTTAACATGTCCAGTTCAATAACAAATTACAATAATAAAATCGAACATATTTACAGGAATCCATACAAATTAAGGGTCAGAGTTTCATCCTCTGTATAGAATATGATGTAGGCATCTTTTTAAGTACACATAGGATAATAAAATGGATAGCCCACTCAACTATCTTTAGAATGTATGTATAATTTTATACCTCTTTCCATAGAAACTACAATTGAATTTAGCATTGAGAGACTATGGTATTCATTATTATCTTAGCCAGAGGGTGGTTTTTTTTTTAGCTTTTATAATAAACTTTTAAATTGAAGTATAATATACATAAAGAAAAAGTGCATGTTATAAATGTACATCTCAATGACTTTTTACAGTTATTACCCTTGTAACCAGCACCAGTTGGTTACAAGAAACCCAATAGTCTCGTTACCCCAAAAGATGCCCCTTGTGTTCCCTTCCAATTACTCCTTGCCTCCAAGGGTAACCACTCTCCTGATTCTAGCAACATAGATTAGTTTTTGTACTTTATATAAGTACAATAATCTAGAATGCACTTTATTGTGTTTTGGCTCCTTTTCTTGAATATTCATCCATAGTTTTGCATATGCATTTGTGGGTCTCACCAGAGGTTTTAGTCCTTGAAATGTAGTTCAACACACATTATTCAGTCCGGAACTGTGCTTGGGGGCGGAGACACAAAAACAAATAAGGGCACATTTCTGCTGTAAGAAACATTTAATCCAGTTATCTGGTAATGATCAGATTTAATGTAAAGTCCATTCCTCTTTGTTCAACAAATATTTAATCAGTGTCCACTATAGGACAGGTGGTATCACAGATGCTAGGGATAAGAAATGAACAAACAGACAAAACGTCCAGGGAAATCCTCTCTTTTCTTCCCGTGACATACATGGGCAAGTTCTGCCCACCAATACTCATTTCCCACTCTGTCCTGCATCTGATTTCACATAAAGGGAAGCACAGCAATTGAAACTATTTCTTCTGGCAACTTGGAGTATGAGATTATGAAGTCCCTGGTCCATGAGCCATTTTTCAGATCAGTGAGTGTGGGAGGTATAATATTTGTATATCCCTATTCCTGCCTGATTCCATTCTCTCTACTGCTGATGCTGCCTGTGCAGAATGCAATGCAAGTCTGGAACCTAAGGAAGACTTTGGATATTAGCTTACCTTGCAGTCAAGCTGAGCAGTCTTCTTGTTTTCCAGAGCCATGAAGTGAGAAGAGACACAATTGCCAAAGCTGTGATGGAAATCATACCATTTTGAATTTGTTTTAGTAACTGTGGAATTCTAACATGTATTACTATTCATTACTGCTGGCTTTTCAGAGCCTAGCGAATTACTTGGGTACAAAGCCATGACATTAGAGGCATGAGGGATTAGAAGACAATCCAACAACACTCTAGGATTGATAGTTTAGAAAGAAATGCAAGAGATCATCTCATTTTGTTTGGTTGGTTCATTCCTATCCCCCATTGCTTGCGTTTTTATGAAAAATTTCAAGTATGTATTAATGTAGAGAAAATAGAAAATTCACTCTTGTGTATCCATCTTTTAACTTCAAAAATTATCAACTCATGTCAATTCTTCTCTAACCCCTTGCTGTCCCCCTCCTCTGATTATTTGAAGCAATCCCAGATGACAAATAAATTACTCATAAATGTTCAGAAAGTGAGATCTAGTTTTAATTCCTCTAGTTCACAGGCTCAGAGGTGAATTCACTAAGATTTATAGTGGCAGTTATATGAAATCCCTGCTTCAAAAGTAAAAGTGATCATCTTTACTAACAGAATTACTATTATTATTATTACATTATGACATAATATATTATGGTACTGTTTGGTCTAAAACTATCTCTTTTAAGCCTGTCATTCTGTTCTCCAAGGAGTTCAACAGGGTGTGGGATGGCTGATTGATGTTATTTTTCATCAGTAATTTCGAAACCAAATCCTTGTGGATTTTGAAATTGCAAATAAATTTGTCCAAGTAAAAGTGATTTCTTCAACTATTTGGTAATAAAATGGGTCTAAGACTCTTCCCAAACCTCATGTTTCCCATTTTCAGTCTGTTTGCAAAGGAGGAGGTTGGTTGATGTTCATGGAGCCAGTGTTAATAGCCTGTCTGTTACGGGATAGCTCAGCACAACTGGGCATGCAACTTAATTTTTTTAGGTTTCCCAGGCCAAAACCCCAAAGCACCATTGTTTTTGCCAGTCAGAATACTCCAGAGGTTTCTAGAACAAGGAGAAAAGATTGTTAGTGCCTTTGTCATGAAAATATGTAAAATGTTGCTTTGGCTGCTTCGGCTAGCATACCTTCTCTGACTGTATATCTCAAAATGTCACCCAGGGCATATGGCAGTCATTGTGAGGAGTGGGGCACCAGGTACCCCTTAATGAGCCTTTGATGAGGAGATGATTAGGAGTAAAAAAAGCTGCATAGATTATCTGCATAACTAACACTGTAGCAGACAGCCATGCAGACATTTTTCTGTATACAATTCCCACTAATTTTTCTGAGAGATAAAAACAGCGAAGATTGACAATCTGTCAGTTTAACCATTTTCATTGTGTACTTTTTCTGGGCAGGTTATTCACATCGAACTCCTTTGATGTGATCAGTGATGATGCTTTTATTGGTCTTCCACATCTAGAGTATTTGTAAGTAAAAAAGCTTTTTTTAAACATGATGATTCAGGACAAGTACTCCCAAGTTCCTGTAACTGTTTGACAAAAAATATTATAACTTATTGCAGATTCATAGAAAACAACAACATCAAGTCCATTTCAAGACATACTTTCCGGGGACTAAAGTCATTAATTCACTTGTAAGTATGAATGTTGCTGTTACTTTTTAAGCTTGCTAATGGACAATGCAGTTTGATCACCCGTAGTTAATGCACCTACTTTATGAGTGGCCATAAAAATTTAAGAAACCCAAATGATTTCTCTCCATGCACACTTGCCATCTTTCCCTGACATCTGTCAGAGGGTGTTCAAGAAATTGATTATTATTAATATTTTTATCCTAAACCAACCATAATGAGAAAAGCAATCTAATGCAGGGAAATTGTGTGCCTGAAATAACTTCTTTTATTATCGATATCATGACTCACTTCATGGATCATTATGGAATGACTATATACTTTAATTTGATATCAGCTTTTTCTTCTATATAAGCCCTCACTTTATATACATTTAAACATAATTTAGCCACAGGCGATGTCTTCAAAGTACCTGATCAACTTGTCAGTGAAATATTTAATTATTCAATGGGTGATTATAGCTAACAGCAGTTGTTCTTAAGAGGGAACAATTTTGTCTCCCAGGGAACATTTGGCAATATCTAGAGACATGTTTGGTTGTCACAACTGGGGGATGTAACTGGTATCTAGTGGGTAAAAGGCAGAGATTCTTCCAAACAGCTACTGCATGGGACAGCCCCCCACAACAAAGAATTCTCCAGCCTACAGTGGCATAGTGGGGGGGTGAGAAACCCAGAACAACATGACCCAAGCAACTTGTTTCTTCTAGCCTCCCTCACCCCCTGCAGACAGACATAGTCACACACACGCAAGCAAGCAAACACATTCGTGCGCACACACACACACACACACACACTCTCTCTCTCTCTCTCTCACATACACATTGATATATTTTAAGGAAACTGGGAGAGCATGGAAAGAAAAGGTACTCACATTTACATCACTTTTCATTTAATCTTCTCAATAATCCTGCCAAACAGGCGTGATAATCCCCATTTCGGAAATGAGGAAACCATCTTGGAGGGGATATATGCCTACTGAGCTGATCAGTTATGGAATTAGGAGAAAATCTACTTAATAGTTGAATTGCAGTGACTCTTCATCCTTTCAACAGCCGTTTTTCAACCTACCTAATATGTATCTGATTGGTTCTAGATACAGATGCAAGAGATATAAGTGTCATAGTCATTCTGTCAACTTTAACCTGTTCTCTCATCATACCTCATCCCCAGCTCTGCTCTAGGCCCTAGGATGGAGCAGGGAAAAAACAAGACAAAGTGCCTGTCTTTTGACTGAGCCTGATTTCCAGTGTGTCCATGCAGTTGTCACTCTGCCTCCACCAGACCTCTTTCTCTCCTGTTGCTTGTTTTGTAGCAAAGGGAACCTAATGGTCAGATGTATTCTACAAAATCATACCTTTCAAAGCTTCTGTATAGAGTTATTATAATAAAAAAAAACAGTGTTTGCAATACTACTCTTCATGTCAATGACATGATATGATGCAAAGATGGCTGTTAACAAAATCAATGCTATGCAATTTTATCACAGAGCCCAACACTGCCAAGCCTCATTTTTCAGGCAAAAATAAACAAAATAAACAAATATATGAAAGGAGAAATGGAAGTTCATGATCTCAATTTAAATCCACTAAATTTATATACATCCAATCCAATGGCCTCTGTCTAATGCTTAGCATCGGGAGAGCTATAGGAAGGATGCAGGACACAGGTGTCCTCTCAAGGAAGCCAGATAAAAGCTTCACCTGCCCAATTCATTCAGCTGTCTCCTCTCCAGCCTAAAAGCCTGTGGTTTCCCTAGGCTCGCCTGCATACAACAGGGAAAAAAAATGTCTCTATGTCTTGAAGGAAGGAAGAAAGGAGAGAGGAAAGGAGGGAGGGAGAAAGAAAAAGAGAAAAGAAGATGAGAGGAGAGAGGAAGGGAAGGGAGAGGAAGGAGGGAAGGGGAAGATGAAAAGGGAAATAAAAAAGTCTGTTTGACATCCTAGTGTAGGACACCCATTTTGTTTACTGGAGCCTATTATGTTTATCAAATGAAATGGGAATTTAAATATGGGTCATAATGAGGCCTCATAATGAGGCCCTTTCTTTAGCAGTATGGAGACCATAAGAGAGAGAGACTGGTACAGCATACACTTAATAAATTTTCCGGTTCAGGGAACACCAAGGGCAGCCTTTAAAGAGAGGCATGACTCTTACAGGCTGTGAAAGAGAAGTCCCACCTCTCTGAGCTGGTGCTGGAGGTGGGAAGATGTAATGCGGGAACACGGGGTTAAGGCTGGCTAAATGAATATGACCCTGAGGTCTCTTGCATCTTTAGCTAACACTTACTAGGTTGACACATATGGCATTGCCAATGTTAGGCTGTTTTTAATCTACAAAAATGGCAATGCCCTATGGTTCATCTTAAATAGTTTCTAGGATGTGACACAAGCTTTACGAGGAGTAGGACCTACAAAGGTGAGTAAGATCTAGTCCCACCTTAGAGGAGCTCAGGCTAGCAAGAGAAACTGGACAAGTATTTTCTCACCGAGTGCCTTTGTCCCCAAAGTTATGTTCTCCTTTTGAATTATGCTATTCTTTATGGTACAATGTTTTCCTTCCTTCCTTCCTTCCTTCCTTCCTTCCTTCCTTCCTTCCTTCCTTCCTTCCTTCCTTCCTTCCTTCTTCCTTTCTCTCTTTCAAGGAGAGATGGAGTAGGGAGCATCTGAAACCCAAATGTCCCTCTGCCAGCTCAATAAGTCAGGTTCATTTTCCATTATTTATGGCTTATTAATAAATCTGGCATTTGTCTGAGCCATTAGTTTCCTTTTTAAGACATTAGGCTTCAAAGTGCACTTTTCTCCACCTCAGATCAATCCTTCCCAATCAAGGCAAACATTCGAGCCGTGAGGAATTAGCACCTCACCCTCTAACCCGCAGGCACTGCACAAAGAGGTTACAAAGCTTTTTCATATTCTTGATTTTATTGTAGTCTCCTGATGACCCCAGGGAAGAGCTAGGGCAGTAGCACTACGCTCATAGACAAATGAGCACATGGAGGTATGCGCTCAGTTTAAGCTGCTCCCCAGTTAGTAAGTGGTAAAGCCGGAAGTCTCCCATGGTCTTTGATGAGACTTCTGGTGCCATTTCCACTGTGTCAGTTAGAGTAGGATGAGATAGCTTTTACTGAGCTGGCTGGAACCTTCCTTGGCACATGATTTGAGGAGGAAATATGACTAGAGAAGAAAGAAAAGATCCTGAAAGCAGGAGCCCTACCCTCACACTTCATCTCAAAATGCAGATACTTGGGATTAGACGTGTACTTTCAGATCCAATGGTCCCCACTCTGGCCTAACATCAGAGCCACTCCAAGGCACTTATCTGAGCATTTATATAAATTTAGTTCGTGCCTAAAGAAACAATGCACTGTCTCACCTTCTTATACATAGATGCCGTTAGATTTCTCTACTAAGACACATTTACAGACAGCTTAAAAGTTATTATATATACCTGGCTATCAGGTAAGAGCCCCCTCCCCTGAAAATTAACCCTTAAAAAGGGAGAGACTTCTTAAAGTTAAGTCCTTTCAAAGCCTGTCAAATGCTGGGACTCTCAATTACTTTCTTTTGAACCATTGTCCTAATGCTATGCGTGTTTCACTTTAACGCTAAAACGGTTTGTGTATTTTAGCAGTCATTTGTATATTTGAATTTTTCTGATGAGTATGTGTTATTTTGGTAATCAGGAAAATATGAATAAAAAATTAGTTTATGGCCAACAATGATAAAATCTCCAAACATTATGTATTGGCTTCTAGTAATACGCATGAGTCTCTGGTAATAATTGCTTTGTGTGCCACATAAATGTCACTGCGGCTAAGGCCCAGTGGAGCTAGCATTGTTTGCATGCATATATATAAATATTTGGGGAAAATTATCATCCATCTATATGTGTTGTCGAGTACGTCATGGTTGCTCAGCACTGAGGGGTACAAAGGACTATAACCGTCCCCAGACTCGGGATGCTTGCATGTTCCCAGACAGTTGAACAGGATGTCTGCTTTAGCCTTCACATTGCCACGTATTTAAAGCGGTAGCACAGTGTAGCAGCTAAGAAAGTGATCTCTGTCTCCAGACTGCCTGGGTTCAAATGTGTCTCTGCCAGCTCAATAGGTCAAGTTTATTTTCCATTATTTATTGCTTATTCATAAATCTGGCATTTGTCTGAGCCATTAATTTCCTTTTTAAGGCTTTAGGCTTCAAAGTGCACTTTTCTTCACCTCAGATCAATTCCTTGGCTTTGCACTTTAACAGCTGTGGAATTTGGGGCAGGCCATTTAGCTTCACTATGCTACAGACAGGGCATGTAAAACAGGGTTATAATAATCTCTTAAAATGGGATGGGGAATAACAAGGCATTTAAGAGTATTAGTGCCTAAGGTTGTCTTGAGATTAGGTGAGTTAATCTATGCAAAGTGCTTAGAACAGGGCCTGGTATGTAGTAAGCACCATTGTGTAGCAATCAACTAAAACTCACTGCCTAACCTCCATTAGTCCCGGATCAGGATTCTAAATGCTACAGTGCATATTCCTTTTAAACACTTTCTATGAAATTTAAGTAACTGCACTTGCACCACCGCAGGTTCAGAGAGACACAAACCGAAGCTGAGAATCTGCATTGCAGGGGGGCTGGGTACACCCCAGATGGCTGTGGGCGATGCTTTCTTAGCAGCAGAGCCCGGTGGTGCTGAAACAAACGTGCTGTTTGAGCCAGTCTGGTCTGCCTTAGAGAGAAGACTTTCCTGTGGGTTCCTCAGTCATAATGAGAGGTTTTCTTGGGTAAACGATGAAAACACCAAAGGGCAGGAAATGGTCATCACTTCTGTCAAGAAGAATGGTCATCTGCCTTTGAGAACACTTGACCTCACTCAGCCAGTTTCAAAGCAACTAGATGTTCAGCTGCGCAATATCTCAGTAGTTTCAAAGAATGTTTCTTAGGTAAACAATGAATCAGGACTGAGAATGGTGTTTAATTGAAGGTACACTTTAAGAGCCTCCACATTGC